AGCCAATGATATCTCCCTGTCCTCGCATAGAGTGCCAGATGCATCATGGGATGCGACAGTATTGCAACCACCATATCTAGGATGGGGAAGGAGCCAACCATCCTAGGTCCGGAGGACCTAAAGGGGCATCGCTTTTCGGCTTTTGGCTAAGTGTCCTCTCACTTGTGGGATACTTTTGCTATAGTTTAGTTGATTGGCTTTTTTCCTTGTTTGTTTGTGGGGATGTGCTAAGTACCGGCCGGGTGGGAACGCCGTGCCCCCCACCCCAAATTATCGTCAAGCGATTTTTGGACATCTTGGAACGTTTCCTTGACGATGTCGTCTTCTGACTACGGCGATTGGGGCGACACCACCGATGATGGTAGCGAACTGGTTCGTACGTTGCGCCATTTGGTACCAAGTGATCCTGAAACGTCCAGTGAAGATTCCGACGACGAATTGGTGAAGGTGTCTGAACGCAGTTACCACAGTGAAGGGAGAGTTCGTGCTTCTGTTAGCTATAGTGCCGCCGCCCAGAAGAACTTGCCTAAAGAAGATTCTCCAGGGGAGGTCTCTTTTCGTCCGAGCTATTTATAAGAGTTTGAAAAGGAACATTTTCATCGCGAGAACGTTATGCGTGACAGACCTTATACGGCCTTTTTCACGGCTCCTGCAGCTTCCTTCACCACCAAAGATATTTTTGATGCGCTGTTGTCAGATGGTGTTCCTGCTTCCGCAGTTCGGTGTTTGCAGCGATCCCCGAATGGTAATGTGTTAATCACCTTTGCGTCCAGACAGTATCGTGATCTGTTCTTGCGTCGTTCCTCCTTTGTGGTACGCCGAGATCGGTACGTCACCCACCCTGGCTCGCGACGTCTCCTTTTTGTTACCATCTACAACGCGCCACACGAGCTACCGGACTCGGCCATCGAACACCGGTTGGGTCGTTACGGCAGGATCTTCTCTTCTCGTCGAGGTAGAGTTCCTGGCTACCCAGATGTTTTCAATGGCCTGCGGCATCTTCGCATGGAATTGAGCACCCATATCCCGTGTATCCTGCGCTTTGGGAAGTTTCAGATTCGCGTAAAGTACGACGGCCAGCCGACCACTTGCCGTCGGTGCAACTCCCGTGACCACTTGTTTAAAGACTGTAGAAACGAAGTCTGCTTCAACTGTGATCGAGCTGGTCATCACTCCAGATTATGTCCTGAAGATATGAGATGCTGCATTTGCAAAGAAGAGGGGCACATGGCTATAGACTGTCAGCACTCATGGTACCGGCGTCCCCCGGCTTCTAATGCCCTCTCTCCTGAGCCTTCGTCCGGAGTTACGGTTCCTGTTGAATCAGCCCCCGAGTCTGCTGCTACGGAACCTTTGGATCAAGAGTCCCCGGAGGATGGGACCTCCCCCTCACAGATGTTGGTTGAAGAGAGTGTTTCTAATGAGGTCGCCCAATCCAATTCGCCTTTGGAGGAGTCCTCTGATGCTGTGAGTGACCGTGCTGTCTCGGAGTCTCCTGCTGAAGCTGAGAGTCACCAGCCTAGTTCAGATGTTCGTGTTTTGGATTCGCAAGGCGATCTGATCCCTGAGGAGCCTGCTGTTGCTGAGAAGTCTGCTGATGTTGTGTGCTCTCTTCCTGAGCCTTCACTTCCTGATAGTGTGTTAGCTACCGTTGCTTTAGAAGATCCCCCTTCTTCAGCTCCTGCGTCTGAAGATCCTGCGTTTTCTGTTCCTGACAGTGCTCTGGCTCAGGTTCCAATCCCTCCTCCTTTGAGTGCTGCTGCTTCGGACCTTGTTCCTGCTGATGAGAGTGGTGATGATGATGACATGGGCGATTCTGTTCCTCTTCGTGACGGCCAGGAACTAGCTACTGCCTGGAAGCGTATTTCCCGCAAAAAAGGAAGGAAGAAGACCCTGGCCAGGAAGGCGTCTTCTGCTGCCTCTGATTTATTTGTTCCGGTTCGTAAGGCGACCCGTCCAAGTCTTCCTGGGGCGAGGCCAAATAGAGGTAAGGACCCGCCTGAGTAAACTTTTTCCATTTTCAAAGGTCTAACGATTAACGTTCATGGTTTGAGTGATGAAAAGTTTTCGTCAGTTGTTCGTTGTTTTGGTCAAGAGAATCTAGATTTCTGTTTTATCCAGGAAACGATGGTTTCTGATAGACGGGTCATTAATTCCCTATCTTCCCGGTGGCGGGGCCCCAGTTTTTGGTCCCCGGCTGTCGGGAGGAGGGGTGGCGTGGCCATTTTGCTTTCAAGTAGTTTACAAGATAATCTCTCTGTTTGGAAAAAGGATACTGAGGGTCGGGTCCTTAGTGTATTACTTAAAATTGATTCCCAGTCTATTAATTTAGTTAATGTGTATGCTCCAACTGTACCGGCTGATAGACGAGTCTTCTACCAGTCGGTCCATTTGTACTTCTTTCCACACTCCTCGCTGATAGTTGGTGGTGATTTCAACTGTTATGACGGTTCCTCAGATAAGTTTGGGGGCACCGTCTCTATTAGTTCTGACTTGTCTGACCTTAAATCGTGTTTTTTGTTAAGGGATGCGTGGCGAGCTTCGCATCCCAGAACCCGCCAGTTTACTTGGTTTAATTCAGATTCTTCAGTTGCTAGTCGTTTAGACACTTTTCTTGTTGCAAGGTCCCTCCTTTCATCAGTTAAGTCGTGTGTTATTTCTCCTTGTGTTTTCTCGGATCACGAGTTTGTTTTTATTGACTTAGTTCTCGAAGCTTCTTCTAAGTATGGCCCTGGAGTGTGGAAATTAAATAATTCTCTCTTAGAGGACGAGTCTTATTGCGAGAAGATTCGTGCTCTTATTGATCGTTTTTTATTGTTTAAACATACCTTTTCTTCCTCTGGTTCCTTTTGGGAATCCCTTAAGAAAGATATTAAAGTTGAATCTATTGCCTTTTCAAAGCAAAAGCGTAGAGACCTCTCTGACGAGAGAGTCTCGTTAACTAACCGCTTGATTGCTTTGAAACATCGTCTAGTGTCGGGTGATCCTTCTGTTAA